CTGTCGGCAGCTTCACGCAGTCGCAGTCATGGCTGGGCTTGACGACTAAGAGCAGCGCAATGGGGGCTCTCGGTGCGCGGAGCTAGATGGAGAAAACAGAGGATAAAGAAAGGGGTATATATATATATATATATATATATATATATATATATATATATATATATATATATATATGATATGTGTGTGGGTGTGTGCGTGTGTGTTGTAACGGAAGTTATGTCGCCGGTCGCCGACATGCTGATTCGTTGCTCAGTTATGCTGTGAGCGCAGGCTATTTAAGTGACTTTTTTGTCGCGTTGGAATGTTTCAAACACCATCGTTTGGTTGGTCCACTTGTACAGTACTTGTTGCACTTTTGCCGAACGGTTTCTTGGCACGTCAGATGATCCCACAAACGTGTCCAAGTCTTGGTGGTCCACGCAAGTGTTTTTTGCAGCGATTCAATTGATGAACTCCGGCGATATTTATTTATGCTGTCGCCTTCGTCAAGCAGTGTCAAAGGCAAGTGAAAATGACCGCCCTTATAGCAACATCTGAACGTTTATTACAGTCTCATATCTAGACGGCGGGAAGCGACGTCAACCTTACACATCGTCCCTAGGAATTCCACAGTTGCGGTGACAGCCTACGGGTAGCTCGAGGGGAACACAAAGAAAGCAACGACAGTAATTCCAGGGATATGTGGTTTCGTGATCGCCGGGATAGATATATAACACAAACATTTCAACAGCTATTTTAATGTCGACGCTGTGTCCTTTCGTGATCACGAAACATTTTCTTTTTCAGAAGACGCACTCTAAACCATGACATGTTACGAGATCAGTAGTTTCTTGGGTTGTCTAGAAAAATACTCTAGCTGTATTAACGGATGGATTCCGCTTTGTCTTGGTGCGTCACACAGCACCGTGATGCTTCACAACACAACACGCAGGCTTGAGCAGTATGTTCCTGAATTGACTTTACGCTTTCTCACATCTTTTCTCAGAGGATGCGTTTCTGCCACTCAGAATAGTGGAAACAGGGAATGCCAGGTAAAGTGACAAAGTAGACGTGGACTACCAGTAGCATGACGCACGCGTAATCATGAGGATGAGAGTTTGCGTTCTACTGGTGGTATTTATTATTATTATTATTATTATTATTATTATTATTATTATTATTATTACTATTAATATTATTATTATTATTGTTATTATTATTATTATTATTGATGTGGTTGTTGTTGCTGTTGCTTTTTCCATCGCTTTCCAGCTTATAATTTCTGCTATAAAACTGAAAATAACTTCCCAAACATAATTCTGTTGGATTTAAATATTTACGTTAAACGTATATCTGATGTAATACAATATAAATATGCAAAGCATGTACATTCATTGTGTGCAACTTAAGCCAACTTCACAAGATTAGTGAAAGAAAAAAATCGGCAGATCCTACGTACCTGGGAATCGACGTTATGCGAAGCATGCGGAGGGAAGGTTACCATGTTGCAAATATTTTATTGAGCGACACGTCATGAAATGACGATAAATATTTGTACAAATGTTGCACGCACAGACATATGTTAAAGAGTTGCAGATGTTTATATAACCAGTTGTTCGCACTTGCGACACGATGCCAACTGGAACTTGGTATTAGCAACACCAGAAGCTGATATGAAGTGCTGATGCTCGTGAGGATGCTGGCCCTGGACACTGCTATATAAATCAACTTCATCGCATGGCAACTAACCATAATTGACGTTAACTCGACGTGACGGTTGTATGAAAGAATTACATATGTAATGTTCATAAAATTGGGTAGGCAGCACTGCAGCCACTATTGATGTTGCACAAAGACTAGCGTTATTTGAAGAGTAGTTCGAAGACCTGGCGCAGCTCTGTGGTAAAATACTTCATTGCCACGCAGAATGCTTGGGTTCGATACCAGCTGGGACCCTGACATTTATTCTTTGCATTCGTTGGGTTGACGCTACCGAGATGGCGGGTATTTCTTAAAGCTTGAACCTTAACATTGCACATGTGTGTTCTCGTCGTTCCTGGGTAGATACTAATGGCATCTTCAGCTGAGGTGCGCTGGCACCGTGACGGTATGAAAAAGTTACGTCAAACACCGCCTGGGTTTCATACCTCACTACGGGCCAGCCGAGCGTGTGAACCACAAAACTCGAATCCGCTACAGCAGCGCTGTATGCGAGAGACGTATTTAGCAGACGACAATTTCCAGCGTCCTGTTTGTACTGGTAATAAGAGAGCAAACAAAAGAAAATAAAACAATGACACACACTTGCGAGTTACTAAGTGACTAGTAGGTGCACATCTGTTCTCCAGGCGGTTGTGCTGCATCAGTTTTGTACCAACTCGACGAGGGTTACGGTAATTTTCGCATCGCCTTCGGTGTCCAGTGGAATCCTGGGTGCAAGAGTAGCCTTGTGCGAGTATGGTTGGACGATGTAAGCTTACGCACGCTTTTGCCATCCTGCCCGGCCGTGTCATGCGGCAGCGCCAGCTGTAAATCACGCCTGAAATTATGGAACGTCAGCGCGTCGTCGGCCAGCGCGCGCGGGCTGATGGGATTGCACCGCGCTCCACCGTCGACCTCCACGGTGTCACCGTGGCGCGCACTCGTGTCGTGGCCGGTCCAGCCGAACATGCGGCACAACACGCATAGTGCCCAGACGAACGTATGGCATGGCACGGGTACACTGAAAATGCCACCGGTGCCGCCACCCGAAGATGCCATAAGTTTCAATAACCTGTGGCGCATAGCAGCATACTGTATAGGTGAGCGTAGTAGGGCTAAGTAATTAGTATTTTTGCTTTCCGACACGAAACCTAATTTAGACGGTAGATTTACTACATTCGGTACTATGATAGGCCTCGATCGTGCTTTGACGTTTTCTGGACTTAAAGGAGCACTGACATCAAATTTACTCTTGCCAAGATTTTTGCGTCAGCGAGTAGCTATAGACCCCTTAGCAGCGATTCGCGACCTAAAACACAACTGAGGGATGAATAACTATCAATTTTATTGATTGATATTACTGGGATCTAGCACTATTAAAAAACGGCCGGTAATTCCGCCATTTTTAGCGGTGGAAGCACCAGCAGTGGTGCTACCTCGCAGTAACCTCCAGATCACGCCATAGCTGACCACTTCTCGACAGAAAAGAGGGACGTCAGGCTCAGCTGCTCCGTAAACATTTCGTCTGCTAGGCGGACACATTCAGTCATGCCTTGTCACCTGCCTTACTGTAGTCGCCGTACAAAGTGTGGACTCAGGTTCAATACGATAGTCTGGAGCTTGGAATCCCCGCGATTCACTACGTCGCGAATTGTTTTTGCTTCAATGGACCTTTTGCAGAACAGTCCTTTCGAAATGGACGAGGTTCCAAGCAGCACAGCAGAGGTGCCCGAGGATGCATGCTTCAGCCATGTTCGGTCGTGTGCCTCAGTTAGCTATATTGGTTTGTTTTGCCCTGCAAAGCATTTAGGTATACGCAGAGGGGTCAATGCATAATAGCTATCGCGAATGGGCATCAGCGAAAAAATAGAATACCTTTCCTGCTTGTCAGGTTCTTTTTCGCGCCTCTAGAAGGCCCCACCTATTTATCCTCTCGTGGTTAACACGACATTACCACTTTTACGTGGACGCAAAGTCTACAGATGAACTAAAATTCAACGATACCTGCATGTTACTTGTTAGCGATGATATCTGACTACATGCTGCTCCACTTTTGATAGCTTGTGGTAGTGTTGATGTGTAACACATACGTGATATGAAAAGACACCCTCATTGCGCTTTTTCCGTGCTTGAACTAGACGACTGCAACTCACCTGCAACTCACAACAATTCCCCGTCATGCTGACCGACAAGCTCACGTTTGAACATGCTCTTTTGTTTTACCATTAGGTAGTTCTTTATCTTGATTATTTCATGAAATTATTCAATCCGGTGCGATGAAAATGAAACGCGACGAGCCACAGCCGGGCTAGACTGCACCTGCGCGCGCTAGCCAGGCCCTAGCCCGGCCGTGCACGAGCGAGTGCGTTTCTGCACTTCGTAGCCAGTCGGCGCCACGATAAGAACACTCGGATCGTACACGTCATCGCTACCAGGGCATCGTCACTCAGGATGGTAATTGTGGAATTTATCACACCGAACACGTAGCACTAGTGTCGATGTTGCAGGGCAGTCTATTTTTCGTTTTTTCTCTTTAGCTTTTCTACGCTGTTTGACATCGGATTAAGAAAACTTCAACGCGATGGATGCCGTTCAAATTTGGCCAAGAAGACCAATGCATACCAAGCGATCAAACCATGGGCAGATCTCGATCTGGAAATTTGATGTCAGTGCTCCTTTAAATGTGTGTCTTATAGTTTTACTTTCCAGTCTATAAATTTTGTTTTGCTCACGAAGGTAATACGCCCCAGATGAGGGCAGTGTTTCAGATGCGAACGGAACAGTGAGTTGAATAGCAGTTGTTTAATTTTCAATATGTGGTAGCTCCCGGTATACAGATTCAGCTGACCGACGGCATGCGCTGATTTCGACAATGTGTAGCCTACGCGTGGTGAAAAATGAGAAAGTGTTTCGAGTTTATGTAGAGTTTCAAGTTGATGAGACCATTTTTGCGTGTCTTTTGCATTTTTTTCAGTGCACGTGCAATGCATCACGCCCGTAGGAAGTGCTCTTCTGGCTTGATCGTAACGATGTAAGCTTTCAAAAGAATACTTTTCTCATTAATGTGAAAAAGAAGTATGGGGCCTGACACGCTGTCTTAAGGTGGTACTGTGTGTGCTAGCGTATTACTTTACCTCTCTTCCGTTTTCTATTTTCCCCTCCCACTGTGCAGGGTGGCAAACTAGGTGCAACATCTGGTTAACCTCGCTGACTTTCCTTTGCTTTTCTTTTTTCTTTCAGATGAAGAGGCGTGATATAATCATGTTCTGGTTTCTGATCAGCGATGTATGAACAAAGAAGTCGTAACTGTAGCCCTCTGATTCCGTGAAATTCAAGTTTATTCATTATGAGCTCTTTATCAAACATTCAGATGCCATAGATAAATCAGCACATATCCCAACTGCAAATTTCGTGTTTTCTAGGATGTCTTCCTTTGAGCGAAGGAGTGGTAGCTGAGATTCATCCTTGAAAAATCAGAACTTTGTGTGTTATTGTGTACATTACTGTCATGGTGTTGGGATAGCCGGCTCTAACGTAACCTACCTTCCCATATTGTGCCAAATATAAATATAAAATAAGACCTTGGGAATTTAAGGACTTTAAAACAGGGGCAGGTGACTATGCACATATATAGCCTATTGGCAGCGTTATTAGCGCCGGTTCACGGCTGGTCTGCTCACTACAATGAATGTAATCACATATTAACCGTGTTATGATTTTTCTAATGAGTAGAACATGAGCAAGTACATTAAAAAAAACGCCTCGTAGACAGGCACGCAACAATATTCACCTTCTTTTATTGCAATGAATGAAATGCATATGTTGCTGCAGATGCTGCTTGACTGCGGGTGACAGTTATATACTCGTGCAGTGCGCGACGCGCACTTAGTTTCTAGGATGGAAACCTTGGTATTTCAGAATACGCATCCTATGAGCAAGGGCGGTTGGCGCCATTCGAACTGAACCGACAGTTATAGACACGTGCAGGTCGCGCTGTTTGCGTGTGCTGTGTTCCGAGAACGTCTGTACATCTTGAGTTGCGCGATGGTGTGGAGCCACAGTCTACCCTTCTGTCGCTCGAACATATAGGTGCAAGATGTCTTCGTGAGACACCGTTTATCGACGCTCATAGCGTGAGCCAAGCCCACAGTGGCGGTGGCACAAGCGGTTTCGCTGATATCCTTCGTTGACTTGCGCAGCTGCGGCCACTGGTCCTGGCGACAAGGTGTGTGCAACCCCCTACTCTTGGCCGGGCTGTGGCAGCCCTTCAACCTCTGGGCAGTTCCTGGTTGGTGGCGGCAGTGGGTACAGGAAATCGGTCACCGGCATTCCTTCCCAGTTGCCCTGCGAGCACGCCCATGGGTTATATACGGCGCACTGCTCACACTGGTCACATCACAGTTCTTCACGCATTTGGCGTACTCTCTATTAGTGCATAGCTCAGTTTTGCAGCACTGAATAATGCATCGGATACTACTACATCCATGCATGAGTTAAAGAAGGCCAAGTAGTCAAACATTACAACGGGTACTGATCTGCACCCCTAATTGCCTATAGGTGTAGATATGGAACAAAACTGCACTAGTCTTATCGTCGATGCGTCTCAACAAGGTATCATCATTTTCTTCCAATGGCCTTAATTATTATGAGCATTCATATGAGAAGACTCGTTTTCAGACCACGTGCTGGCTTAAGATTTGCATGGATCACTAAGAACAAGGTAAGTGGCTACTCGTGCCCATCGGTCTGGGCCCTCAATACGAACTATCCAGGCCGTTGTAAAGCAGTGTACTTGGTCACATTGGTCACTCGCTCATGTGTGGCTTGAAATATCAAAGTATGCCCTCCCCTTCGTGTTTCTGTATACTTACCTCCACCAATCTATTCACATGTTGTAGACTCTATAGGAAATTAAACACCGCGCTAAACAAAACCACGCCCAGCGGGTAATAAGCAGCACACTTAATATAATAGGTATGGGTCGGCAAAAACTGTGGAGCTCACTCAGTCTCATTCATGAATATATAGTTTGCTCTCAAGGCTCTCGATAACTCCGAATCACCTAACTTTTCTTCAACTGGACTCACTCAAACTTACACTCACTGACACTTTTACTCACTCACTAAACTTACACTCACTAAACTTACACTTTTACGGTGACGGGGTCCATCGCTATAGCTGCATCGCTATTATGACGGGCCCCGTCGCCGTTACGATTTCACTACGGTGACGGGCGCCGTCACTGTAGTCACAGCCTAAATATTAAGCTGACGTGTGAACGGTAGTGTGTTGAAGTGTGTGTGAGTGGACGTGAGCATAAACGGGCACCTATATAAGGCTGGTAATCCTGAAGTTGAGTAAAGTACCATAGGTTGGCGAAAAATGAGGAGCTCACTCATACTCACTTCTGGAATATATTTTGCCCCCAGGGCTCACTCAGACTCACAAAAATTTTTCTCAAACGGACACACTCGGACTCATCATAACTTTTCTCAGCCAGACTTACTCGGACTCACTCACCAAAATATAACTCACCCGAACTCACTCAGACTCGTGGCTCGATCCGAGTCTGAGTTAGCCCGACCGAGTCGACTCGTGAGCTACGGGGGCATTTTTGTGGGGAAGAAACATATCGTAGGCTTAGAAAGGGCTTGTACTCAGTTCACAGTTATCAACGTCGCCATGAAGGCACCATATTCCGTGACTCGATGCATCACACGTTCATGATTTATGAACTGTATACAGTCAGCCTGTGATAACTTATGTGTCGTTCCACGCCAAGCAAAATAGAATTTAGCATCTTTGAATTGAATTTCACTATATAAGAAACCATGGCACATGTGCTGGCCTTTCGCACTTTATCACTGTATCATGTAGCACTGTACATTCAGCACTGTATGATGTAGTACTCTGTACGTGACCTTGTTATGTGAAAGCGCGCACTGAGCTCTATAGAGAACCTGCGCTGGAGTTTTCACGGCCACCCTGGCGGTGAGAACGCGCACTTCTCAGCTGCTCCCGCAGACCAAAGTGGCGGCTGCTAAAGGCGGTGCGTGCGCGCATCACCGTAACAAAACTAAAGGGCGCTGGCGGTACTGCTGCGTATTGAAGTGCAACAATATATAAAAAGGGGGAGGGCGTATAGAGGAAAGGGAGGATGTGGAAAAATGAAACGACGTTGCATTCAAGCGTTCAGGAGAGCAAAATTCTGCTGTCGCTCTCCTGTCTAATGCTGTCGGGCTCGTTTCGAAACCGAACGGCGCGCGTCTGCTATATTTATTCGATAGTGAAGACAGCCACCAGTGGAAACGAGGGCCAAACAGTCGAGTTTAAACGGCGTTTTGCCGGAAATGAAATGAATGAGTTACGCACAATGCGGCATATGTAAACTACTTTTTTATCTGGCCCACTGAGCGTTGAGTCGTGCACTTCAGAACTAACAAAGTGTCCACGCGTCCGTCCATCTGACCACCATAACCAAACTCCATCTGATGCCACCAAGTGAAGTGAATGATACGATAAGCAGGTAGTCTCACTCTTCTTTTTTTTACTTGTAAACAGTTGCGTGTAAAGGAAAGCTGCTTTGTCCACAAGCCTTGTGCGTGGCCACGTTCACCTACGCCTCTGAGCTGTTATAAAAGATACTCTCGCGGTGATCACTCGATGCAGAGATGACTCAGTTTAACTTAATTTGTGCAAAAGTAAGAGCTCTTGTTACTAACAAAGCAGCGGACTACTCGAAGCTTAGATTTCTGGAATCAGGCGATGCGGTAAGAGTTTTTCTCACCGACTGCCATGGCTAAGTAACATCGGAGTTTATGCCTTGCTAGAGAAGTCTTCGATTTTTACTCGTTGTTTAGTTCGCCTAACCCCCAGTTTCAGTGTTTCCGCATGCCTGTGTCATTCTAAAATGAAGGTGTCTGTTCAACATCGATAATTGTTAGGCTTTTATGCACCAAACAAGATATTGTTGTGGGGTACGCTGTAGTGTGCGTATCAAGATTGTGACCACTTGGGGTTCTCCGATGCGCACTTATATCTACGGGTGTCTCCTTTTCATATTTCTCTCCCACCGAAGTGCGGCCGCCGTGGTCACTAATCTACCCCGTACCCTCAAGAATAGCAGCGCGACACCACGCGTGCCACGCTGCCACGGTGGTTTGCTTGATCAACGTCCCCGTGCATACATACCGCGGACAGGGCGTACGAATTATGCCAGAAAAAAAATTGACGCAGCTACCACTTACTCTGCTTTAGTTTTTGTTTTGTTTTACTGCAGATTTTGGCAGCGTGGTATCGTAGCAGCACAGACTTATCAATGGGGGCATGTCAGCCAGCACTAGCATTAGCCCAAAACCTAGTACGCAACCAGAAAATGAGGACGAGGGAGCTTCCATCACGGCACAACACTGTCCATTTGATACTATATGCATAAACGCAGTCCACTTGCAGGGCTTCTCTCCGTCTTTCAGTGGTTTTTATGTGAGAGTATCCTTCGGGCAAAGTTATTTTTCTAAACCACAGTGCAGTATTACTGGCGCTATGCCTTTTCGAGCTGCTCGTTCCAAAATGAAGCACGGCAGCGGCGCACGAGCGTGCTCTCGGAGTGGTACACTGTGGCCGGTCGTCTGGGCGCGAGCTGCTGAGTTGTGCCGCGACTCTCCGCCAGGTGTTCTTTCTCGGCGCGCCGCCTATCCAGTGCTGGTGCCCCATAAAAACCAAAGCAATGCTTCGTGGCCTTGTGACTTTGGACAGACAGCGCCGTCTCTGGCATAAAAATAAAAATTCGGGACGCACGTTGCGCGTTTTCCCTTCATTCCACCGCGCTGCCGCTCCCTTACGTGCAAGTGCAGGGCTCTCGCACTGCACCTGGAGCGAAGAGCACTGCTTGAAAAAAGAAAAAAAAAACTCCCAGCAAAACAGGTATTTAGAAAAATCGAATGTTATCAAATCACAAAAAGTGCGTTATCACGTTTACGTTGTGGAGCAGACGACAACGACGCCCGACGTAACGCGAAATGCATCTCCGAAGTCCACGACGTTATCGTGTACGAGAGGTAGAGGTAAGGATACTTTGGTAATGCGCTAAATATACCTAATGGTCTATATGCAGTCCGAAATGAAGCCACGCACGTGATCGGTGTTCTACATTGTCGGCAACGAAATATACATGGCCGTTGTTTCGAAGTTCATACTGACAGTATAGCAGACGGGTACTGTCGTGAACGAACGTGGCATATGTAACGGAAACAAAGATGACACGACCATAGCACTAAAAAGCTTTATAAGGTTAGAGCTGTGTCCTCCGTACCACTGGAGCATCACCTGCTGACTTAGCCGCGAGGCGGCTAGTAAAGTTGAACTGCTACCCTCGTTTTTTTTCCTTTTCAGTTTTCGCGTCGTGCTTCCACTACCATTTTATGAGAATATCGACTGCACAGGTGTATTAGGCCTGCTGTGCGAACACGGCTCAGTGTGAGAGGTGCCGAATTTCAGGCACGATGTGATATCTGGAGTGCGACGAGGCCGCACAGTTAGCGCACACGCTAACGTACACACACTGAAAGCACATTACGGAGCCTGTCGCACATACACGCAGCGTACGTGAAAGAAAACAGCAGATCACTGAATGCATTAAATGCCGGTTCGAGTCAGCGGCTCGAATAAATACCATCATTATGAAGCGACAAAAATAGAACAAACCAGCACGGCCATGTCAAAGTCTGCTGAAAATGCATGGACGTTCGTTCTGGTGCGATAATGCAGCCTTCCCTATGCGTGAATTCCCGGCGGTGAAGCTTTGACAATGTGCGCAGTTCACTTGAAAGCAACCAATAACACAACGCCATTCACGGTATCAATTATGCGAGTGTGAACATCCAACACCGACAGCTACGTTTCACAAACACAAAAACGAAAACACAAAGTTGTTTCTACCTACAACCATAACTGGACTTTCACAATTTGGAGGAGACAGCGAGCTATTATTAGTTCAGTCGTTCCATGAACGCGCCATGTTACGCACTGATTCGTGTAGCCGAAACAAATGATTTCAAGTCAATTGATACAAAACAGAAGGCGAGACAGACCTAGAACTTACTTTATTTTTTTTAACTGCAGTGATCCACGGTTGTTTTTTTTCTCTCTTTTACGACTTGTCCGGCAACCGATAGTTTTACAGGTGGATCGCGTGTCTTGGTACTGTCTGCACTCTCGTGACACAGAACAATGGTTCGGACCTCGCTGACGTGAGGTCTCTTCTGCCGTCACCGAAAAGCAACGTCGAAAAGCGAGTGTCTTGTTCCAGCGAACCAAGCTGATGGCACGGTGCCCAAGTTCCCCAC